GTGCTCCGGCTTCCTCCCCAAAACATAGCCCATGCAACATTCATGCAGCCATTCCAATGCGATCTGCCACCACAGCTTCAAGAACCGCATAGAACTACGCACACGGACACAACCACTCGTTGCAAAACACATAGGAGGAACAATTCGCGCACAAAACGACCGCAGCTGCACCCGTCGCACAGACGAGGTACCTTTCATCGTCGCCTGCAGCCACTTTACACGGAAAAACACAAGGTTTCGTGCTCCGGCTTCCTCCCCACAACAAAGCCCATGCAACATTCATGCAGCCATTCCAATGCAATCTGCCATTCCTCACCACTTCCCATCGTCACCACTTCCCTTCCTCACCACTTCCCATCGTCACCACTTCCCTTCCTCACCACTTCCCATCGTCACCACTTCCCTTCCTCATCACTTCCCATCGTCACCAATTCCATCGCTTCTCACTTCCCTTCCTCATCACTTCCCATCGCCACCACTTCCCTTCCTCACCACTTCCCATCGTCACCACTTCCCTTCCTCACCACTCCCCTTCATCAACACTTCCCTTCGTCACCACTTCCCTTCCTCACCACTTCCCTTCCTCACCACTTCCCATCGTCGCCACTTCCCGCCATCACCACTTTCCTTCCTCACCACTCCCCTTCATCACCACTTCCCTTCGTCGCCACTTCCGTAACTCGGAAGTATTGCTTCCCAACTTCCTTTGATTAGATTATGTATTGTTATATTATGTATTGTTGTATGATCTACCACCCTTCCTCAAGGTCAATTTCACAGCTTCTTATTCTTTTGTTATGTATTGGTACATTTACTATGTATTGTTATATGATCTACCACCCTTCCTCAAGGTCAATTTCATTGCTTCTTATTCTTTTGTGATGTATTGGTACATTATGTATTGTTATATTGTGTATTGTTATATGATCTACCACCCTTCCTCAAGGTCAATTTCATTGCTTCTTATTCTTTTGTGATGTATTGGTACATTATGTATTGTTACATGATCTACCACCCTTCATCATAGTCAATTGCACCAAGTAAAAGTCATTCGTAACTCGGAAGTATTGCTTCCCAACTTCCTTTGATTACTCAAATTTGTTTGCTGTCGTTTTGCTTTTGGGTTCTCAGGCCCCCCTTGTTTTTAGGTGTTTCATGTTGCTGACTAAACATTAATTCAAACCGCAATAGGTGTATTCTGTATATATATATATACACATACAATCATATACATATATACATATAATTACGAAAGCCAGCTAGCTGGCTAGTTGCTGTTTGCGAACGAAGTGAGAATAGGGGGTGTGGGGGGGGGTGGTTGCCGAAAGGGAACGAAATCTCGCCGTGCCCCTGTGTTGAGCGCCAGAAAACGGAGCATTTTGCTGGATTAAGTACCACTAGGCAATTTGCTGACGGTGGGGTATCGATTCCCCCTAGGTCCGCCTTTTTGGTGGCCGGAAAGGCCATGAGGATGTATTGGAAAATACAATGAAACTGCAGGAGAACATAATAACGATCAGAGGAAATCGTACAAAATCCCCTGGAAAACGGACGAAAACGGAGCGAATGCGAGGAACAAACCATGGAAAAGCCCTTGGAAAATGGAGGAAACCGGAGCGAATGCTAGGCGCAAACCATGACGATGCAGTAAACATGCTGGAAAAATACAGTGAAAGTGCAGGAAAATGTGATAACAACGAGAGGAAATGGTGCAAAAAGGATCGGAAAATGAAGGAGACAGGTAAAACTCTTGGATTAATATTAATATTGAAAAGGTATGAAAATGCAGGAAACCAGAGGAAATGGTGCAAAAACCTATGGAGGAAAGAGGTGAAAATGATAGGAAACATGTAGTAAAAAAAAGCTGGACAAAACATATTGAAAACCCACGAAGAGGATGTATTGGAAAATACAATGAAACTTGAGCAAAACATGATAACGATCAGAGGAAAATGCTAGGAACAAGCCATGCAAAATCTGTTGGAACATGGAGGAAACCGGAGTGACTGCTAGGAACAAACTATGACGATGCAGTAAACATGTTGGAAAAAGACAGTGAAAGTGCAGGAAAATGCGATAACAACCAAAGGAAATAGTGCAAAAACGATCGGAGAAATCAAGGAGACGGGTAAAACTCTTGGAAAAGTACATTGAAAATGCAGCAAACCAGAGGAAATGGTGCAAAAAGGAGACGGGTAAAAATCTTGGAAAAATAGATTAAAAATGCATGAATAGACTGAAAACCCACGAAGAGGATATAGATGATATAGAAACTGCAGGAAAACATGATAACAATCAGAGGAAATCGTGCAAAATCCACTGGAAAATGCTGGAAAGATACAGTGAAGGAAAATGTGATAACAACCTGGCAGGAAAATGTGATAACAACCAGAATAAAGGGTGCAAAATCTGTTGGAACATGGAGGAAACCCGGAGCGACTGCTAGGAACAAACTATGACGATGCAGTAAACATGCTGGAAAAATACAGTGAAAGTGCAGGAAAATGCGATAACAACCAGAGGAAATGGTGCAAAAACGATCGGAAACTGAAGGAGACGGGTAAAACTCTTGGAAAAATATATTGAAAATGCATGAAATGCAGGAAACGAGAGGAAATGGTACAAAAAGCCATAGAGGAAAGCGGTGAAAATGGTAGGAAGCATGTAATAAAAAAAAAGCTGGACAAAACACAGTGAAAACCTACAAAAGAGAAGAAAGTAACCACAGGAAACGGTAGAAAAAGCAGTGGAAACTGGAAGAAAAGTTGTGACAATATTAGGAAAACGGTGTACAAGCTAGGAAATGCTTGTAACAACTAGAGGAAACGATGTAGAAAACAGTACAACATGGAGGACACGCGTGAACATGCTAGGAGGCATGTAACATGTTAGAAAAATACAGTGAAAACCTAGGAACATGTTATATCTAAAAATGCTTTAAAAAATATAGTGAAAACCAAGACAATGTTAACGAGCGGAAACGTTGAGCAGGAAATCCGATTTGGTTTCTGTAGATAATGTTAGATGATGAGCAATGTAGTTTGGTGATAGGAAATAGTGGCTGACTCGGGTACAAGACATTGCCATGAAACCTTGGAGCAAGATGCGGATGGTATAGGAAAAAAGATGTATGAGTTGTAAGATTTTAGGAGTTGCATGGGAAAATTGGTTTCATGGTAATCTGTGTGAAGTTAGAAAAGTGTGATTTCGTTCACAGAGTAAGAAAAATAAATACAATCTGCAGATTAGAGTATTTATAATGCTTAAAACTGTTTGACGTTTTTTGGTGCCTCCCTGATTCTGGTAGTTTTGTGATAAGAACTACAAAAACGATCTACTGGTAAACGGAAGGAATAGTCTTTCCGGTTTAGAACTGAGTCGACTGTCAAGTGATGCATAGGCTCCAGGCCTCTGGTTATTGTCACAAAGCATTGGAATGAAGATTGCGCCCAGGAGCCACCTAGGTTAGGAGACAAATGCTGTAATATCATTGTAAGAGGCCGTACTGAGAAGGCTGAAACAGAACTAAAAGTGAATCTTGTACTAAAACATCGAGAAAGAATTTGAATCTTCTAATGGCAATGACGGGAATGATATGCATCTGTACGTCCGTGATAGTATGTGTGCCTTTTAAAAGGGATGTTTGGCGAGTGTGATAGCTGAGAAGATTTTCCGGGATGCCAAACAATTATCTCTATCGATGTCAGGGATGATGCTATTCCGCGACATTTCCTGTAAAATACCTATTTTCCAGACCCTTGGGGGGTGGGGGGGGGTACCCAGGTCTGTAAATGGCCTAAATATATATACTTTTGATTTGGACTGCATGTTCGCCACTGTTCTATATTTCCCGTGGGTTTTGCATTGTTTTCCTCGATTTTCATTCGTTCTTATACCCTTTCTTACGTATGTTATAATATTGTCTTGGGTTTGCACTGCCCATTTTGCGAGTAGAGCTATATTTAATTTCTCACCGTACGGCCAAAATGTTGCGGAACTTCGCGGAGAAGCATGGACCACGATTCTGGGGAGAAAACAATTTAGACTTTGAGAGGTCACATGACCACTGTTCACACAAAAAAACGGGTATTATTTATCGACAATAGGTGGGAGCAAACTTGCGCTGTTTTAAGATAAATGAGCAACCAAAGGCGGATTTACGGAACTTAAGATAGAACTTTTCACAATGCCGCAGTACATTGTAGGAAACATATTTGGATATAGAAGTTACAAAATCGTGGAGTTTACCCTAAAAAGGTCCATTTAATCATTGGAAAATTATGACCCGATAGCAATTGTTGATGTTGGGGCGCTTCATGTTTGAGCCATGCCATATGGATGAGGTGGAGTTTCACGCGCCCCCGCGCGAGTCAAAAAGCAAGCGCTGGCTTTCGTTCCACCCCTTCTCAGGTATGTACAAATATATTTCTATGTAATTTCTCGTATTTTATTTGACCATTTTTTTGGACGTCATCTACCACATTAATGGGAGACTGCGCTACTAGCAAATGCAACAATGTAGCCTGCAACTTGTATGGCGCATGTACATCTAAGTGATTCACTAAGGAATGCCTTGCCAGCTGGGAATGCTTGGGAAAGATTCACCATACAATACAACGGCGAAGCTTTTCATCCCAATCAGTTTGATGTTTCTTGGTAGCATTGGTATGATTGTATTGGATTTGGCTGAGTTGAAATTGTATGAAATTCTTGGATTCTTTGGCGAGCAAGTACACGCCTGCACACCACATAGTTGGACTCAATTGTACTGTTCGCCGTAAGATCCAACCCAGGTTCACCAGGGCAAAATGTGTAAGGGCGAACCGTATACCAGAGACCAATGCGAGCTTGCCAACTGCAACGGATGGTCAGGCGTCACCCAGCAAGACTGCCAGGACCATGTTTTTTGAGTCCTACTCGTATACCAGACGGTTCATTCGAGGTGTTTGTTCAGTTTGTTCCTTTCATTTCAAAGCTTGCCTTTGATATGGCTGCGTGGCATGTCATGTTTGCTTTGTGAGGACAAGTGCCACAACAACGAGAAGCCTGTTGGTTGTCAGCAGGACTTTCAGTGCGTCGCTGCGGTGTTCGAAGCACCCAACTGGTGTCAGCTCTACTCAACTTGCACAGAGTTTCATGTCGACAGCAATGCAGTTTCGATAGTGAAAAAACCCAGCCCCTTTTTCTTGCAGATGGTCGACGGAGATGAGACATGCCGAGGATCCAACGGAACTGAGAGTGAGCCACACCCGCCTGAAGCCACCCTGGCGACGGCGTTGCCTTTGGCTATCATCAACTTGACAAACTTCTCAGGGCTGATCACCACGAGAAACTTGTCGCACATGGGAATGGAGCACCATTTTGGGAACCTCGGCTCGGATCTTCAGCTGTTGTATGACAAAGTGGAAGGCTTCTACAAAGCCCTCCATGAAGTGATGGGGGAGGATGCGGAGGTTCTCTGCCCACGCAACAACTACATCTTCATTGAACATTGCCTGAAAATCGCAACTTGCCTCCTGGATCCTATGGTGAAAGCTGGTCAAGTCCCCATGGCCTTCTATGCATCCATGCTCGAACAGCTCGTGAACTTTGAAATTACTTGGCAAGGCCTCGTTCAGGCTTTGGCGGAGGAAGGAAATGTGACCATTGTGACACCAGTTCAGCATGAGTCCAGCAAGTACCACTGTGACCTCTTTGACACAGCGGATGGGACGACTCTGGCAGTTCCAATCACGAACACTTCACTCCTTTCCCTGCGCCATCAGGACAAGAGCCTGTCTCACCAGGAGGGCCAGGAGGGCCAGGAGGGCCAAGAGGGCCAGGAGTCTCAGGCATTTGCCACGGCAGCTGCCTTGAGTCACGCCGTCAGGGCCACCCATGAGCTCTTGGACTCGCTGGGTGATGCCTCGGGTGACGCGATGGGTGACTGGCAAACTCAAAATGCATCCATGGATTTCCAGAGGATTAAGAAGCAGTTCCAGTCGCAGTGGGACGCCATGTGGCTTCCAGTCTGTCGGAAGATGAATTGTGACCACACGAACTTCTGGGATATCATTCTGTCCAGCTATGGGCAGACCATGGCACTAATGCAAACAGGACCACGAGCCTTTGCCAAGGTAAAGGCTGAGATCCGGAACAGGGCAGCGTTCCTTAGCTGGGCGAGGATTCTTGATACACATATTAAGGGCTGCCGCCCCTGCCGCCGACCCCGGAAGACCTGAAAGAATTCCTAAAGCAAACCCTGCATGAAATTCGACAGAAACCTTAAAGAAACTCGAAAGAAAACTTTTAAGAGATGTAAATCTTTAAGAAACGCGAAACCCGAGCGAATCCCAGAGAAGCTCTACATGAAATTCTAATTCTTTTGTTTTATTCTCTTCTGTTTGGATCCTAAATGAAATGAACCCTAAAGAAACCAGAAATTGACCTAAAGAAACCATTTGAATGAAACTTTAAATGCATCCTAAAGAGACCCTAGACGACACTCTAATAAGGTTTGAAGGAAATACTAAATGGAACCCAAACATAACGCTTGGACATTCTTACCATGGTTTTGTCCGCGCAGTTTGATGGACTTTGGCTGGTATGTACGTTGCAATGTAAAGTTATGTAGTGTAATTTGGTGTAATGTAAATGTACTGTCATTGTATTCCATTGGAAGGTAATGTAATGCAATGTAATGTAATGTAATGTAGGGTGTATGTATGTATATATATATATATATACATAGATATATAAGTAGTTAAATACTACAGATATGTAAATTACAACAGATGTATACTAGGATGTTGTTCTTGAAAATAAAGATTATAGCCAGGACCAGGACGAAACAGTAACTAGTCTGCCGAACAGGCAGTGTCCTGAACAGGGACGTTTTTTTGAATAGGAAACATATGTAGTCCAGGACTTTGTCCTTGGAGTTATACACACCAAGTTATACACATATATATATATATACCAGGACTTTGTCCTTGGAGGTACATATATATATAGATAGATAGATATATAAGTAGTTAAATACTACAGATATGTAAATTGCTACAGATGTATACTAGGATGTTGTCCTTGAAAATAAATACTATAGCCAGGACCAAGACGAAACCGTAACTAGTCTGCCGAACAGGCAGTGTCCTGAACAGGGACGTTTTTTTGAATAGGAAACATATGTAGTCCAGGACTTTGTCCTTGGAGTTATACACACCAAGTTATACACATATATATATATACCAGGACTTTGTCCTTGGAGGTACAGATATATACATAGATAGATAGATAGATAGATAGAAAAGTAGATAAATACTACAGAGATGTAAATTGCTACAGATGTATATTAGGATGTTGTCCTTGAAAATACATACTATAGCCAGGACCAGGATGAAACGGTAACTAGTCTGCCGAACAGGCAGTGTCCTGAACAGGGACGTTTTTTTTTGAATAAGAAACATATGTAGTCCAGGAATAAGAAAAATCAGAAGGAACCCTTCGCCACAGCAAAACAGCACCTAATTGCGTGCCGAAACCGTGCTCAAACTTACCCACAAAAACTGCCTAACGCCCCTTGTGAATTCCTAGAAAAAAATCTATCTTTTTTGGTTTTTTAGTTTCCTGCAGCTGTCGTCTGGTAGCTCCAAACTGCAAGCATCAGGCTTCCAGAAGGAGGCCTTCGCCACAGCAAAACAGCACCTAATTGCGTGCCGAAACCGTGCTCAAACTTACCCACAAAAATGACCCTTCGCCACAGCAAAACAGCACCTAATTGCGTGCCGAAACCATGTTCAAACTTACCCACAAAAATTGCCTAACGCCCCTTCTGAATTCCTAGAAAAAATCACTTTTTCTGTCTCCTGCAGCTGTTGTTTGGTGGCTCCAAGCTGCAAGCATCAGGCTTCCAGAAGGAACCCTTCGCCACAGCAAAACAGCACCTAATTGCGTGCCGAAACCGTGCTCAAACTTACCCACAAAAATTGCCTAGAGAATCTCTTCGGGAATCCTAGACTACAAACACGCGGGCCCCGGACTGCGAAACATCATATTGCTGCTGCTGCCTGCCTGCTGCTTACCCTTATAAGTACAAGCTGCATGGCTTTGTGACTGCCTGCTGCTGCCTACTGCTGCCTGCTGCTGCCTGCTGCCTGCTGCTGCTGCTGCTGCTGCTGTTGCTGCTGCTGTTGCAAGCTTCCAAATGGTCGGCGGAAAATGTCTTATTCCCTGGCGCGCTACCCCTTGCGTCGGCCGAGGTCAACATGGCACTTGCAAAAAATTAGCTGCTGCTGCTGCTGCTGCTGCTGCTGCCAACAGCTAGACATCTTTTTCAAAACTCACCCGAAACAGCGAAACACCACCTAATTTCGTGCCGAAAAGGACGCAAAATCGCAGCAAAAAACTGTCTAACGTGTCTTCTGAAATCCTAGACAATCCTAGAGAATCTTAGACTATAAATCCCAGAAAATCCTGCAGCTGCCGGTGCTGGTGCTGTCGTCCGCTGATGCCGGCGCTGGTGCTGTCGTCCGCTGATGCTGCTGCTGCTGCTGCTGCTCCTGCTGCTGCTGCTGCTGGCTGGTGCGGGCTGCTGCTGGCTGCTGCTGGCTGCTACCTGCTGCCTGCTGCCTGCTAGACTATAAATCCTAGAAAATCTTAGAGAAACCAACAGCTAAACATCTTTTTCGAAACTCACTCGAAACAGCAAAACACCACCTAATTTCGTGCCGAAAATGACGCAAAATCGCAGCAAAAAACTGCCTAACGTGTCTTCTGAAATCCTGGAAAATCCTAGAGAATCCTAGACTAGGTCCTAGACTATAAATCCTAGAAAATCTTAGAGAAACCAACAGCAAGACATCTTTTTCGAAACTCACTCGAAACAGCAAAACACCACCTAATTTCGTGCCGAAAATGACGCAAAATCGCAGCAAAAAACTGCCTAACGTGTCTTCTGAAATCCTAGAAAATCCTAGACTAGGTCCTAGACTATAAATTCTAGAAAATCTTAGAGAAACCAACAGCTAGACATCTTTTTCGAAACTCACTCGAAACAGCAAAACACCACCTAATTTCGCGCCGAAAATGACACAAACTCGCAGCAAAAAACTGCCTAACGTGTCTTCTGAAATCCTAGAGAATCCTAGAGAATCTTAGACTATAAATCGCAGCCTGCTGCTGCCTGCTGCTCCTGCCTGCTGCTGGCTGCTGCCTGCTCCTGCCTGCTGCTGGCTGTTGCTGGCTGCTGCTGGCTGCTGCTAGCTGCTGCTGGCTGCCTAACGCCGGCTGCTGCTGGTTGCTGCTGCCGGATGCTGCTTGCCAGACACCTACTGCTGCTGCCTGCTGCTGGCTGCTGCTGGCTGGTGCGGGCTGCTGCTGGCTGCTGCTGGCTGCTACCTGCTGCCTGCTGCCTGCTGCTGCCTGCTGCTGCCTGGTAGTAAAAGTAGCAGTGCAGCACCTCTTCTTCCCTTACGCGCTCCCCCTTGCATCGGCCGGGGTCAGCGAATTATTATTATTACATTATTATTCTTTCCTGGCAGCTGTGTCATAAACTCTTTTTCCCTTACGCAATCCCCCTTGCGTCTGCCGGGGTCGGCGGATATTACTATGATACGATGTATCTCTGGACAAGTTTGTTTAGTTTAGAGTTTAGAGTTTAGATCATTAGTTCATATTAGTTCATGCTTTATTGATGATCTACCTGTCTCCTAGGTTGCAGCGTCGCTTTCAAGAACGGTTGGCAGTTCACCCAGTGTCTCTGATTCAGGCATGGGAAACTTTGTTGGCTTGAGTAGCGGGCACCACAGGTAACTGTTCCGATTTCAGAGCACAAGCTCTGCACTCTGAGGCTAAGGAAATCCATAAGATGCTAGGTCTGCTAGGTGAAAGGAGGGATTCATAGAATTCCAGGTCAGGTGTAGGTGTACAATTTGCAATGCGTACAAATTGTGTACATGGGTTGACCATGGGTTGAAACTACGATGTATTCTATTGATTTCTATTGTATTCTGTATGTTTCTGGCATCGGCAGGTTTGGCGTAGAGATGATGCGCAGCGCTCTTCACTGGGCAGTGCCGAGGCCTACGGCCATGCTGGGCATTTGGCTGTGCGCGGCTTCCTGAAGAAATTCGCGATGAAGTCACCACAGAGGGCAATGACTTTGGTTGACATCGTGGAATTCGAAAAGTCCAAGAACCAGAAGAACGAGAACGAGAAGAACGTCCAAGGACTTCTTCCGGTTCCGGACAACACCAGTGCCGCTGCCAGCTCTTTCTTGCAAAGTGACAGAAGTGACAGCATCGCACTTTGGGACTTCTGGAAAAAACTCACTGCTTGCTTTGGAAGCTTCTCGAAGGTGTACTGTCAGGGCTACTTCATGTCTTGGCCTGCCAAGATCAGCACATCCTTTGGATTGGCGGGCGGATCTTCCCATGGACTGGAAGATTTGATCAACAAGCTGCAGCCATCGAATTTTGTGTCGATTTGGGGTGCGGTGAGCGTTGGCCAGTCCATTGCCCAATTCTGGGCAGGCATCAGCATTAGCTTTTCTGTCAGTATGGGTTGTCCCAACAAAGGGGTCGAGTTCAGCATCTCTATTGGAGCTATGGTGGCAGCAATGATACAATGGTACAATCCGCTCATTTGCCCCTTCGGGCCCACTTTCTTTGGTTTCTTGGTTTGTTTAGTTTGTTTCATGGTTTTGTTTTTCTCCGGCACTTTTTGGTTCTGATGTTTGTTTTGCTGCAGTTTTCTCATGGCCTTTATGTTGAGGCAAACTTGTCGCGATCTGAGGAAACCCATTCATCCCTTGCTTCCAGGCCTTTGGTGGAACCTTCACCGTATTGTGTTGCGCCTTCAATTTGGTCACGGGAGACAACACGTGTCGCTAGCTGTCGCCAGCTGTCGCCAGCTGTCGTGTGGCCTTTTTACACATGCGGAGGGCGGCGTTGGCAAAACCCCTTCGATGCCTCCTACGCGACTATAGTTTCGAGATGTTTCGAGAAAAACAGAAAAGAACCAAGAGTCAATGCCATGCTTCGCTGGGTGCATGTAGTTTCATTGCGCATGATGTGAAGTGTAAAATTTCCCGAGTTTCTATAACACAGGTGACAGGTGTCACATGACACATCATGACACATCATGACACATAGTCACATGACACAACCCGACACGTGCAGCTTCGTCAGGCTGCCCTCAAGCTTTGGAAAGTCCGCTTAGCGCAAGCTGCAGCATTCTGCGAAAATCAGGTCCCTCGAGTGCTTTTGGCCATCGGGAACCAACTTGGAAGCTATTGACACCAGTTTCTGCAATCCAATCCGAACCTGTAAACTTCAAACTTGGACAATTAATGAACATCAATGAACATCAACGAACATTATTCATCATTCTTCCGTATTCCGAATTATTCTGATTTCAATTGTTCCGAGAATTGTTCCTGAGCCCCAGCTGAGATTTTTCATCGTGAGATGTTGCAGATCCTCGAAACCTGAGTCGCTAGTAGTCGCTGCAGGCTGGTTCTCCGTGGCATTTTATTTTTTTTGGAGCCAAGACTCTATCTTTGACCATTTGGTATTTCGCAGATTTTCGCACTCTCTGAGGTGAACACTGTGAACACGGTGGGTATTTGTGTGCACTGGAATACTGTGACGTACAACATGGGGGATGTACTAGGCAGAACCACCATAGCTTGTGTTAAACATGGTGAAATTCCAGGTTTGTGTCACCTCCCGATAAGGTTCATATAACTTTATAACTATTTATAAGTATATTACTGAAAATTATTGAACATATTGTAACATGTTAATATGTTGTTCTTCAACGTCCTCAAATATCCTCAAATCCTCTGTGATGTGTCACTGTGGTCCAGGTTCTTTTGAAATGCGGAACTATGGTGAACGGTGCTGGCTGACCTGAAGCTTTTGCACCTGGCCAAAACTTGGCACAGCTTGGCACCACTTGGCACCACTTGGCACCACTTGGCATCGTGGTTGCTGTGCCATTCGCAGGCGAGATAGTTATGTAATGTTATGTAGCAGTCCAGCAAAACAATTTGAGAGCAACACGAAAACAGTTCCACACGGAAAGCTGTGTGACCACGAACTTGATGATGTGAAACCATGTGAAACCATATGATATGAAACCATAAGTATCAAAACAGTAAGAACCAGTTGAAAAATAAGCAAACTGGGAGCACATAGTGGCAAACATATTAAAAATAGGACAACATAAGAAACTATTGGAAAGCACAGGAAAATTGAAACAATAGAAAGAGATAGGAAAACAATAGAACACAATAAAGACAAGTAAACAACAAAATCGTAGCCCGCCACGGAAAAGCTCTTATTTGTCTTTAAGGGGATTTATTGCTTGTCCCGCTGCCTTTACCCACCAGTACCCTACTCACCAGTACTCTAGTCCCCCCGGAAAGAAATTCTTAAGAGGAGAACACATTCTGCTCTACAGTTGCATTTACATTCATTGCATGCTCTGTCGCAGCTATACAGACTATGTCCTCCGCAATCCCCAATCCAAACATTTGTCCAAACTTCGTTTGAAGAGTGCGCACACACACGCACACCATTGAAACATTGAAACATATTCGACATCACAGGGAAACTTTTGCGATGCACTTTGACATATGCCTGGTTCAGAAAACAAACCAAGAACAATGACACAATCAGGAAGTCGAATGGAAGACCCAGGTGATCAGAAAAAAACTTGTATTGTTTCAGTCGGATAGACCATTCAATATTGTGGCACCGAGCACAAGATAAACGATGCTGTTATATTATGTCTGTATGTGTATATTTCCATATACTGTGCATAGGTTACATTTCCAAAACACCAGACCTACCCAAGCGCCAAGATTTGGCCCTTGTCCCTGAGCTGTCGTTTCCTTTCCGTTGACTCAGGTTGTCGTTCTGTCCGTGTCGGCATAGTTGACTTAGCATTTTTAGAGTTCGCAAGGATGGTTTCGCAGACGATGCTTTCGCTTTTGCAGAGCAATATGTAGACTTCTTTCAGGCCAAAATTGAAGCGGAAGAGATAAACCCCACAGATAAAACGTGACGAACCTGTGTGATTCTCATAAAGAACTTGGCATTTGAGTCTGCGTCCGCAGGCCGCCAAGTACTACTTGGACAACGGGGGTGAAGAGCATCCGCTGGACCATCGTTTAGCATCGAGCATCTTTGATCCAGCAGCAATGTGATTCATGTGATTCAAGTTTGAACTCGTCACGTCGTCACGTCCTGAGTCTTCAGATGTCTTCAGGTGTCTTCTGAGAGTTATCTGTTTCTGGGGATTTCCGAAGGACTGGAAGGAGCTGCATCAGCACTTCGTGACACAATTTGAAGGGCGCTTGGTTTCCTGAGCAGGCTGGTTGGTGCCAAGCAGCATTTGATTCAGCGCGAAAACATGCCACAACTATCTGACCCTGGTCCGTTTCACTGCCTGCTTGTGTGTTTCTGGCACATGTACTGTTGCTCACATCCAGCTGTCACGGCTGTTTCCTTTTTTGATTTCGGGCCGCACTGCAGAATTTAATCTTGATGGTTTTGATCCCTAGCCTTCTTTGATCAAGACTCACGCGTTTGTGCTGCACTAGCAGTGCGGATATCCATTCCAAATGAAGCAACATATTGGGAATGCCGGCATTGCCATGGTATCCCTGTTCCTTGCGTTCCTTGTCACCGCATATGGTGCAAAGATACACAGCGGGAAGGTGGCAGAGATGGCAGAGATGGCAGAGATGGCGATGGCGAGTCGGGAGGCAGCTGAAGCAACGACCTCCGAGATGGTCGCGTTGCGAAGCCCTTTGGCTGGTCGGTACCTTCAGATGAACAAATGGGGCATTGCAGCCAGTGTTCCTGCCACCAGTGTCGACAATGGGTGGACATTTGAGAGGTGGGTCAAGGTCAACGTTGCTGATAACTTTGCACTTCACAACACCTATTGGAATCGCTTCCTCGTGATGACTGACACTGGCTTGACTGTAAGCAATTTCTTGGCTGAAGATGAGCATGCGAAGCTGCCTGAAGGTGCTTGGTTCGAAAATGGTCCCGGACTCCTGGGTGCCTCCTCTGTCTACAGCCAGATGTTCAAGCGATTTCTGACGATGACATCCGGGGGCCAGGTGGGAGTCAGTGATGTGAAGGACATCCAAGAGCATGTTGTGCCACCAAACCATCACAGGACTACCAATGTTCCAGAGGAGTGGACAGTACAAACCCAGACTTTCACAAGGCCGGGATTTTCTGGTTGGCCGGGTTGGCTGGGTTGGCCGGGTTGGCCGGTTTGGCCTTGCTCAAATGTGTTCAAATGTGTTCAGGAAGGATGGTACGCATAGAAGGGTGGTTGGTAAACGGCAAGCCAGGTTTCGCCATGTTTCGCTCATTTCACTTTTTTTCTTAATTCAAGATGACAATAATTGAAACAAAACCTGCAAGGAGCGATTGCCCCAACCTTTACCATGCGAAGGGCTCCAGCTGCAAAGCGAACGTGATTGGCAAGACCATTGCTTTGTGGAACCATTGGCACAATCGTTTTGCCCTGATTAACCGGGACGGCTGGATGCAGTCAAGTCAGCCAGGAAACACATTATGGGATTCGTCGACTTGGAAAAGATTCTTGGTGGTGGATGCTGGTGATTGGGAAATTGCATTGCACTCCGCGGAACACAACCGCTACGTTAGCATGAATGGTCAGTTTTGCCTGGCAAGCCAGCTGATGGATGAACACGAGTTAAACAATGCAAACGCTGATGAACGTTTCAAGTTGGTGGATGCGGGCAATGGAAAAGTTGCACTGCATAACAAGCAACACAACCGTTTCATGATGATGAACAGCCAAAATCAGATAGTTGTTTCGGCCGTCATGAACTGGGATGCTTTGCCCGCCAATAATCATGATTGGGAAAGATTCGTGATCTACGAAAGCGACTACGTCGCGACATGTCCGTACCTGATGTTTTCCAAGATGGCAAGTTGTAAACCATGGCTGATTGGTCAAACAGTGTCCTTCTGGAACCCATGGCACAAACGGTACATGCAGATGGTGAACTCTCAATCTGCAACACTGCTGGTCACTCCGCAAATGGCTTCCCCAGAATCTCTGAGCGAATCTTCTGAGGAGGAGCGCTTCCGGGTCGTCGACATTGGCAGCCGCTGGGTGGGTTTGTACCATGAAGTTTATCAACGTTATGTGATGATGAATGACCAAAACAAGTTGATTGCTGGGCCTGTCTCGACTATTCAAGCCATTCCTGCCAACAATGCATGGGAGAGGATCCTTGTAGTGGATGTTGGGGATGGCAAAATCGCTCTGCATTTCCCGTGGTTCAATAGATTCGCCATGATGACCTACAGCGACATGGTGGCGAGCGCAATCTTCAACTGGCCGCCTGGGAATGCTTGGAAATAGTCAATTTCTTTTGCTCTGAGCAAATTACATCGTGTTCTGTGTGTATTATATATTTTTATTTATTTTTAGGTGTTTCATGTTGCTGACTAAACATTAATTCAAACCGCAATAGGTGTATTCTGTGTATATATATACACATACAATCATATACATATATACATATAATATGTACAAATATATTTCTATGTAATTTCTTGTATTTTATTTGACCATTTTTTTGGACGTCATCTACCACATTAATGGGAGACTGCGCTACTAGCAAATGCAACAATGTAGCCTGCAACTTGTATGGCGCATGTACATCTAAGTGATTCACTAAGGAATGCCTTGCCAGCTGGGAATGCTTGGGAAAGATTCACCGAATGCTTGGGAAAGATTCACCGTACAATACAACGGCGAAGCTTTTCATCCCAATCAGTTTGATGTTTCTTGGTAGCATTGGTATGATTGTATTGGATTTGGCTGAGTTGAAATTGTATGAAATTCTTGGATTCTTTGGCGAGCAAGTACACGCCTGCACACCACATAGTTGGACTCAATTGTACTGTTCGCCGTAAGATCCAACCCAGGTTCACCAGGGCAAAATGTGTAAGGGCGAACCGTATACCAGAGACCAATGCGAGCTTGCCAACTGCAACGGATGGTCAGGCGTCACCCAGCAAGACTGCCAGGACCATGTTTTTTGAGTCCTACTCGTATACCAGACGGTTCATTCGAGGTGTTTGTTCAGTTTGTTCCTTTCATTTCAAAGCTTGCCTTTGATATGGCTGCGTGGCATGTCATGTTTGCTTTGTGAGGACAAGTGCCACAACAACGAGAAGCCTGTTGGTTGTCAGCAGGACTTTCAGTGCGTCGCTGCGGTGTTCGAAGCACCCAACTGGTGTCAGCTCTACTCAACTTGCACAGAGTTTCATGTCGACAGCAATGCAGTTTCGATAGTGAAAAAACCCAGCCCCTTTTTCTTGCAGATGGTCGACGGAGATGAGACATGCCGAGGATCCAACGGAACTGAGAGTGAGCCACACCCGCCTGAAGCCACCCTGGCGACGGCGTTGCCTTTGGCTATCATCAACTTGACAAACTTCTCAGGGCTGATCACCACGAGAAACTTGTCGCACATGGGAATGGAGCACCATTTTGGGAACCTCGGCTCGGATCTTCAGCTGTTGTATGACAAAGTGGAAGGCTTCTACAAAGCCCTCCATGAAGTGATGGGGGAGGATGCGGAGGTTCTCTGCCCACGCAACAACTACATCTTCATCGAACATTGCCTGAAAATCGCAACTTGCCTCCTGGATCCTATGGTGAAAGCTGGTCAAGTCCCCATGGCCTTCTATGCATCCATGCTCGAACAGCTCGTGAACTTTGAAATTACTTGGCAAGGCCTCGTTCAGGCTTTGGCGGAGGAAGGAAATGTGACCATTGTGACACCAGTTCAGCATGAGTCCAGCAAGTACCACTGTGACCTCTTTGACACAGCGGATGGGACGACTCTGGCAGTTCCAATCACGAACACTTCACTCCTTTCCCTGCGCCATCAGGACAAGAGCCTGTCTCACCAGGAGGGCCAGGAGGGCCAGGAGGGCCAAGAGGGCCAGGAGTCTCAGGCATTTGCCACGGCAGCTGCCTTGAGTCACGCCGTCAGGGCCACCCATGAGCTCTTGGACTCGCTGGGTGATGCCTCGGGTGACGCGATGGGTGACTGGCAAACTCAAAATGCATCCATGGATTTCCAGAGGATTAAGAAGCAGTTCCAGTCGCAGTGGGACGCCATGTGGCTTCCAGTCTGTCGGAAGATGAATTGTGACCACACGAACTTCTGGGATATCATTCTGTCCAGCTATGGGCAGACCATGGCACTAATGCAAACAGGACCACGAGCCTTTGCCAAGGTAAAGGCTGAGATCCGGAACAGGGCAGCGTTCCTTAGCTGGGCGAGCTTTTTGATGATACATCAGAATTGTAGTACATCATCGTACTTCATAGTACATGCAATCCTCGATTCTTGATACACATATATTACATTATATTACTATGATACGATGTATCTCTGGACAAGTTTGTTTAGTTTAGAGTTTAGAGTTTAGATCATTAGTTCATATTAGTTCATGCTTTATTGATGATCTACCTGTCTCCTAGGTTGCAGCGTCGCTTTCAAGAACGGTTGGCAGTTCACCCAGTGTCTCTGATTCAGGCATGGGAAACTTTGTTGGCTTGAGTAGCGGGCACCACAGGTAACTGTTCCGATTTCAGAGCACAAGCTCTGCACTCTGAGGCTAAGGAAATCCATAAGATGCTAGGTCTGCTAGGTGAAAGGAGGGATTCATAGAATTCCAGGTCAGGTGTAGGTGTACAATTTGCAATGTGTACAAATTGTGTACATGGGTTGACCATGGGTTGAAACTACGATGTATTCTATTGATTTCTATTGTATTCTGTATTCTATTGTATTCTGTATGTTTCTGGCATCGGCAGGTTTGGCGTAGAGATGATGCGCAGCGCTCTTCACTGGGCAGTGCCGAGGCCTACGGCCATGCTGGGCATTTGGCGGTGCGCGGCTTCCTGAAGAAATTCGCGATGAAGTCACCACAGAGGGCAATGACTTTGGTTGACATCGTGGAATTCGAAAAGTCCAAGAACCAGAAGAACGAGAACGAGAAGAACGTCCAAGGACTTCTTCCGGTTCCGGACAACACCAGTGCCGCTGCCAGCTCTTTCCTGCAAAGTGACAGAAGTGACAGCATCGCACTTTGGGACTTCTGGAAAAAACTCACTGCTTGCTTTGGAAGCTTCTCGAAGGTGTACTGTCAGGGCTACTTCATGTCTTGGCCTGCCAAGATCAGCACATCCTTTGGATTGGCGGGCGGATCTTCCCATGGACTGGAAGATTTGATCAACAAGCTGCAGCCATCGAATTTTGTGTCGATTTGGGGTGCGGTGAGCGTTGGCCAGTCCATTGCCCAATTCTGGGCAGGCATCAGCATTAGCTTTTCTGTCAGTATGGGTTGTCCCAACAAAGGGGTCGAGTTCAGCATCTCTATTGGAGCTATGGTGGCAGCAATGATACAATGGTACAATCCGCTCATTTGCCCCTTCGGGCCCACTTTCTTTGGTTTCTTGGTTTGTTTAGTTTGTTTCATGGTTTTGTTTTTCTCCGGCACTTTTTGGTTCTGATGTTTGTTTTGCTGCAGTTTTCTCATGGCCTTTATGTTGAGGCAAACTTGTCGCGATCTGAGGAAACCCATTCATCCCTTGCTTCCAGGCCTTTGGTGGAACCTTCACCGTATTGTGTTGCGCCTTCAATTTGGTCACGGGAGACAACACGTGTCGCTAGCTGTCGCCAGCTGTCGTGTGGCCTTTTTACACATGCGGAGGGCGGCGTTGGCAAAACCCCTTCGATGCCTCCTACGCGACTATAGTTTCGAGATGTTTCGAGAAAAACAGAAAAGAACCAAGAGTCAATGCCATGCTTCACTGGGTGCATGTAGTTTCATTGCGCATGATGTGAAGTGTAAAATTTCCCGAGTTTCTATAACACAGGTGACAGGTGTCACATGACACATCATGACACATAGTCACATGACACAACCCGACGCGTGCAGCTTCGTCAGGCTGCCCTCAAGCTTTGGAAAGTCCGCTTAGCGCAAGCTGCAGCATTCTGCGAAAATCAGGTCCCTCGAGTGCTTTTGGCCATCAGGAACCCACTTGGAAGCTATTGACACCAGTTTCTGGAATCCAATCCGAACCTGTAAACTTTAAACTTGGACAATTAATGAATATCAATGAACATCAACGAACATTATTCATCATTCTTCCGTATTCCGAATTATTCTGATTTCAATTGTTCCGAGAATTGTTCCTGAGCCCCAGCTGAGATTTTTCATCGTGAGATGTTGCAGATCCTCGAAACCTGAGTCGCTAGTAGTCGCTGCAGGCTGGTTCTCGGTGGCATTTTTTTTTTTTTGGAGCCAAGACTCTATCTTTGACCATTTGGTATTTCGCAGATTTTCGCACTCTCTGAGGTGAACACGGTGGGTATTTGTGTGCACTGGAATACTGTGACGTACAACATGGGGGATGTACTACACAGAACCACCATAGCTTGTGTTAAACATGGTGAAATTCCAGGTTTGTGTCACCTCCCGATAAGGTTCATATAACTTTATAACTATTTATAAGTATATTACTGAAAATTATTGAACATATTGTAACATGTTAATATGTTGTTCTTCAACGTCCTCAAATATCCTCAAATCCTCTGTGATGTGTCACTGTGGTCCAGGTTCTTTTGAAATGCGGAACTATGGTGAACGGTGCTGGCTGACCTGAAGCTTTTGCACCTGGCCAAAACTTGGCACAGCTTGGCACCACTTGGCACCACTTGGCACCACTTGGCATCGTGGTTGCTGTGCCATTCGCAGGCGAGATAGTTATGTAATGTTATGTAGCATTCCAGCAAAACAATTCGAGAGCAACACGAAAACAGTTCCACACGGAAAGCTGTGTGACCACGAACTTGATGATGTGAAACCATATGGAGCGACAACGATGTGTGCAATGACTTCAATACCACAGCTGGTGCTGCCCTCGGCTCATTTCACTCGGGTCAGTCGATTTCAAATGGGTGTTGAAACCACGGTTGTCACCTTGCTAATTCTCGGTGTAGTTCTGCCCTTTTTTTTTGCAAGTTGCAGGCTGTATGTATTGGCACGAGCAAGAAGAGAGTTGATACAAGAACAATGCAACGGAAGTGAAAAATGCGGCAGATCCATAAAACTGCATGAGGTGGTGGCATCTCTAGTTGCAGGTCAAAAAACTTGCCGGATCATGAGGGCACCAGCCTCCAATCGTGAAAAAGGGAGGGCAGAGCAAAGCAGCCCACATATCGGGCATCGTCGGCATCGTTGTTTGTTTGAAATGTCAGTGTTTGACATTTCCATTTTGCCGAGTGGATTTCAGCTTATCGCCAGGGCGGGGTTGATGCCATTTGCCACGAGGCACTTCAAACGCTTGGGACCTCAGAGAGCATTTCATGGCTTGGTTTTGAAAGAAAATCATTTGAAATCGCTTGGACACATGTTTTTGGAACAAAAAACTATGAAACTGTTGAAACATGTCTAAGCAATTCTAAGTACGTCCAGGCTGGACCTGCGCAAGCACGTTGCGTGTCATCCTCAGCAGGTGCCATGCACGACGTGCTCGCCACTTCGCTTGTGCCTTTGAGGACACACCCGCGGCTGGGGCTCGTTGACCACGTGGCCTGCAATCCTTTGGGCACAGCAACCTCCGCAGAGGCTGTCGAATCGGTTCTGTCGATCTTGAAATGGAACAGATTGTGGAACCAGAGCGCTTTGAACATGTTTGAAACGTGTTCCACATGGTGTTCCAGATGTCTTCACTGCGAGCTTTAACAGCATTTGCTCTGCTTTTGTCCATCTTAAATAAAGACTTAAAAACAGCATCCCCAAAACACTACCTATACGTATCTATGCCATCCACTTCACTCATGCAAACTGGAATATATAATAATATATATATATATATAATAGTATATATTTATCAGTTATCAGCTGATGACAAACAAACACAACAAATGGATCATTTCAAACTGCTCATTTTGACATTTTTTGTTGTCAAAGAACGCCCCAACACAGATCACGTACATTATTTGTGGAGAAGTTGCCCTCTTGATGCACCCTGGCTTTGTTTTTGAGCCATGGTGATGCCGAGTGTATTCCTGGAGCATGGCCGGTTGCGCTGCTTGGTTTCAACCATTGGACAGATCAACCCAGCCAGGTCTGATTGCCGAGGGGACTGACCTTTGAAAGTGACAGTACTGTCGGATTTTTACTCACGATGTCGATGATTAAGATTAAGATCCTCAACACCAGATTTGAATCACAGGGTCTTGTTTTTGCGAAGCATTTTCTTTCCGATGGGCTTTGAAACATTTTGCGCTGCAAGCAGTTTGTCAGCAGGTTGAGCTTTGGGTTGACGCTGTTGATGCACCATCCTTGCTGCAACAGCTGAAAGACTGGTTCTGGGCACAGGACAGCCGTTCTCTGCGTTCTCACTGTTGTCTGCTTCAGCCCGGAGTCAGGTTGTGCAGACTGCACAGACAGACTGCACAGACTGTGCAGACCTCACCTGCCAGGATGGTTTCGCAGACGATGCTTTCGCTTTTGCAGAGCAATATGTAGACTTCTTTCAGGCCAAAATTGAAGCGGAAGAGATAAACCACAAAACCACAGAAAAACGTGATGAACCTGTGTGATTCTCATAAAGAAGTTGCCATTTGAGTCTGCGTCCGCAGGCCGCCAAGTACTACTTGGACAACGGGGGTGAAGAGCATCCGCTGGACCATCAAGCATCGAGCATCTTTGATCCAGCCGCAATGTGATTCATGTGATTCAAGTTTGAACTCGTCACGTCGTCACGTCCTGAGAGTCTTCAGATGTCTTCAGGTGTCTTCTGAGAGTTATCTGTTTCTGGGATTTCCGAAGGACTGGAAGGAGCTGCATCAGCACTTCGTGGCACAATTTGAAGGGCGCTTGGAGGCTTGAGCGGCCAAAAGACACCTGAACACTGCAACGAAAATGCCACAACAATGCCACGACAATGCCTCCAATGCATCCTGTGTTCAAGTTGATTTCAAGTTGCAAGCGTTTCGATGGGCCTGCTTTGAGGCCTTTCTGGCTTCAAGAGGTTCGGATCTTGAGGTGCGGCACGTGGGAATCGGCTCGCGGTGCGATGCTACTTTCTCTGCCCGAAAACGCCAGGGCTTGGAGGCTGCCTTGCAGTCCACTGAGCTTGAAAGCGATGAGCAGGCAAAGTGCAGCACCGGTGATGGCTGGCTCTTTGGGGACTGAAACGATGCCGTAGCTCCGTAGCATAGGCCAAAGTCATGCTGGAGCTCATGCTGAACATCTCTGACTACCAGCCTTGGTTAAAGTCAATGCTTTCCTTGGCAGATGAGAGGAATCGTGGTGTCTGCATCTCAGGTTGTTTCGATTGTTTCAGATGTTGAGAAAAATTTCTCGTACATAGGCTCCAACTGCACAATTGAATCGGCTTTTAGTGCTGGTTTCGTTGCACGGCGTTGCATGGCGTTGCATGGCGTTGCATGGCGTTGCATGGCTTGAAACTCATTTCCCCAGAGAATCCTGGCCCCAGGAAACTGCCCACGAGGATCCAGAACCTCCCGACCAAGGATGGAATCGACCAGGATTACCTCCAGATTTTAGATATTTTTAGATGATTTTAGAAATTTTGATCTTACAGATTCTTACAGAATCTTTTTAAATTTCCAGAATCTTACCATATTTCCAGGTAGTTTTACTACCCAGGATGACATAGACAGCTTGGATGGGCTTTGCCAGCCATGTGGTGTTTTTGGACCCGTGAGGCATTGAAGACAGAGACGATCTCGATATGTTTTCAGCCTTCAGATGAAAAAGCACCGCGGATTTGGGCGGTTTGAGCATCATTCTGTGGTGAAATTTGATCATTAGAATATGGAATATGAATGGACATCATTGACATCATTGGAAATCTACAAAATCTCATGGAAATAAATTGGAAATAAATGGAAATATCGGAAAACCCATGGAGAAAATATGACAACATCCCCTTGGAATAGGCAGCTGAGCTGGCTGCTCGAATCGGCGCCCGCCTTGGGGACGGTGCCGGTGGAGCCGGTGGAGCCGGTGGAGCCTCTCCAGCCACAGTCTCAACAAACTTCCGAAACAGTTTCACAAAATTTCACAAACACTTTCACTCAGCTTTCACAAATTTGAAACTTGAATTTCTGTAGAACATTGTGGAACATTGTACTTGGAATTGAAATGACGAATTCATATGAATTCAACATTCAGAAAAAAGCACGAATTACAGGTGCCGGTTTTCTTTTATGGTGCAGCGCGGGAGGACTGTCGGAATTCCATGGAATTCCAGGACCATGGGAGAAATTCCTGGAGAATTCATGTCGAGGACTTAAGATCTCTGGCAGAGTTACGTCGATGCCTCGGGTGCGCCACGGTTTCTGTGCATCAGGCAGATTCAGATAGTGACAGTGACAGTGACGGTGGGAGGTACTTCAGTGGTGCGGCCAAAGGAGAATGGTGCCAACCCGAAAATGTTGACAGATTTTTCATTATTTTTAATGTTTTTAATTTTTGAAATTTTAAACATAGTTTTTCTATGTTTTTCTGTATTTTTCTATCAGATTTTCATCAAGCCTTTCTCCAATGAAGCTGTGAAACTGTGAAGATCTGTGAAGATCTGTGAAGATCTGTGAAGATCTGTGAAGATCTGTGAAGCTGTAGCTGGCTGTGAATTCTGTGAGGTCCGGCCTGTCCCACGAAATGAAGACGGCCATCGTCTTCGGCTCATCGACTCAACTTTGACACTTCCACTCAGTCGACCACATTTGTTTCCTCGGAATCCACATCCACATTCAAGATATTCAATAATTTCTTCAGGCCACATTTAATTTCTTCAATTTATTGAATGTAATTTATCATTTACACATTCAATTTATCAATATTTATCCCACATCCTTGGATCAAGCCATCAAGATTGAATCAAGGTACCCAATTTCTCCTTTTGACCAGATATTGGATAATCATGGATAATCTAGAAAAGTCACAAACTTTTGCAACAGATTCTCTGACTCTGCTTTTGCACGGCTGCGCGCCCACATCTCGAGGTGCAATTGCCGGCTGATCGAGGTCCCGTGGGCCAGGCATCTATGGCTTCAGATATGGAACCCAAAAGGATCTAAAAGGCATAAATATGTGGGAAATGCAACATTGATGTATTCTGTTCACATTTTTCACAACGTGTTGACACATCACGATTCAATGCATGGGTGCTGCAGGAAAAAACTGGCCGTTTTGATGCAATGGGATGCCAAACTTTAAGATCGCTTGCAAATGTTTTCTTTCGATTTGTTTCCCTTCTGTATACATTTTATTCAAGAATACGATCAGACTTGATAAAGTAGTTTAAAACAGTATCATGCTGTGCGCAATGTGCGCTTTTTCATGTTTAGTGTCAACCTGACAGGTAGATGATCGCCATGGCGTAGCGGTGGTGGGAGCAGTGCCATGGGTGCTTCCAAGGGCAACGCCGTGAAATGTGAAACGCTGTGAAACTGTGGTGGCATAGCGATGCATAGCGTAGTTTTTCCAGATGATGGGCTTTCCGCTTGTGTCGAGGTGCACAACTACAATCTCCTTGTCGTTGCAGACTTGGAAGAGGCGTGAAGTTTTGGTGAGTTCTCGAGAATAGTTCGAATATGTTCGAATATGTTCGAATATGTTACTGTTCGAATATGTTGACATGTTGGAATGATTTGGAAGTCACGAGATGTCACGAGTATCTTGGGACTTGGAGTTGAACTTCGAAGGCTGAAGTAATGAGGCGATGTCGAAGGATTGCTGGGATCCCGAATCTCGAATCCAAATCCCATGTTTGATTTAGCCTTTGGTGAAGGCTCATCTTGCAACATCTTGCAACCTTTGCTTGTGGAGTGCTTGTTCTCTCCATTGTCGAGTGTGGTAGTCTAGTAGTCCACTGATGTCGTGCAATGATTACAAGACAATCAATCGATGATTCGATCCAAGACAAGTGGCCGCTGAGATTCGCTTCGCCTGTTGTGTCACCAAGGCCAAGAGCATTAGCGAAAGAGGTGGTGGCTTGGACAAAGTCGAGACCATGGCACTTCCTCACGAGAAGGGTGTCGAGGCGCACATCGTTCTTTGTAACGGTCCAGTTGTAACGGACATGGTCGATGATGCTTCCATGTGTTGATTTTGAAGACACAGGTCGCTTGCAATCTCCTGGATGCAGACATCACCCCGCCAGCAAAGGTGCACTCACAAAACCCTTTCAAACGATCACGCCTCTTGGCAGAACCAAAGCCATGCAAAGGCTGCAAAGGACAACGAGCAAGGCACTCTTTTATGGAAGCTGCAATTGGCATAAAGCGGTACAAATGATACACATTTTGGTGGTCGTTTATGATACCCCCCAAGAATCATGCATTCTTTGTTTCACAGACGTTTACACGCCACTGCAATTTTCGTACCTCTCTGCTGCTTCTCATAGCTTCGGGTGCGCTTACCGGGTCTTGCTGCAGCCGCGCAGAGAGCAGTGCTGCATGGGCTCTGCACCACCGGCATCATTATCACCACCTGCCTACTGTGCGTGCAAGTGCTTCTACATTCATCACATATTCATCAGATATTCATCAATTCATTTTGTGTTGTCAACGTTTCGTCAAAGTTTCCAATCTGTTTGCAGAAATCCAGGTCTGCCCTGCTTGTGCCTGCAGTGGAGGCGGCAGCGTCCCCAGCCGCATTTCACTCCCCAATGCTGCAGAGCAGCTTCAGAAGCTAAAAGACATGTTGCAGGAATGGACATGTTGAAAACATCCCAGCAAACAGGGCTGTGTCGCTGCGGAAACAAAGCCGAGATGCAAAGTAGAAGATAGTCCCTGACCATGAGAAAGCATGATGTGGCATGAAAGTATTTTAGAATATGACGATTCAATCATCAATGATCATCAACCCAATAATATTTAGCATTCAAACATAGTCAAAGAATGTCAAAGAACTGATCTTTCATTTGGTATTTAGCATTTTGCAGATTTTTGCAGCTTGTGTTTCTTCACATCAAGGCACCGGCGGTGACCAGACAGGAGCGCAGGGGGAATTTTCGAGGTTGCTCGGTGTTTTGAGTTGACGACGTAGTGATACTGGTATTGCATGCTTTTTTTTTTTTTTTTTGCAGTTTGGACAGAGCGTGAAGTCAATTTTTGTGAAGTTTCGAGGAGACATCATGGAGGCAAGCGCAGAAGGCAAGCTAATCGCGACTAAGGTTATTGCGAGGGTGTATCTGGGGATATCTGGAGATATCTATATAGAGATTATTATTGAGTATTTGGGGACTTATTTTTACGTGTCAAAACACTTGAACAGTCAACACACTGCGTCAGGTGATGAAGCCTTTTTGAACAAGTTTTCGCGGCAAAATGCTGCCTTCGGTGCAGAGGCCTTTCGAACTTTGCAGAGCAGTCGAGCAAGTTGACGAATTCGTCGAACCACTTGACACCCTGAACAGCCTGAACATGCCTGAACCAAGTTCAACCGTTCAACCGCTTCTTCTCAGTGACTGCGGAGCCTGACAGGTCACCATGAAAATGACCAAAATGAGAGCCCTAGTAGTCGGCTGCAGTGGGGTTGCTGTGGAGGCTACTGAAGAAAGTTTCAGCTGATATTTTTATGTTATATATATTTTCATATTGATTTGAATTTGAATCTTATTTTTGTATGATTTCTACACTATTCTTTGCCAATTGAGTCACTTGCGATGGGGCCCATTGTGCCCATTGTGCCCATTGTGACCCAAACTCTCCACGTCCTCACGTCCTCCGCCCAGATCGTGAAGAATCTGGTGCTGCAGGGTCTTGGAGCAGTGCCAGCGCTCAGAGAGTTTGCACTTGACCATGACAGAGCTGCAACATGCCTGACTATGCCTGACTATTCCTGACTATGACTTTGCAATACTATATAATAAATTATAATAATATAATACTATGCGGCTGACCATGCAACCATATGCAACCATACTTGAGCCGCATGAGGTGACCTTGATTGATCCGAAGCCTGCAAAGATCCAGGAGACTGCCTTCCTAGTTCGACAATGCGCAGCAACAATTTGTCAACTGGATCCTTACTGGATCCTTACTGTAACTTGAGACCATGAAACTCAACTCTTTGTGAAGTGCTTCTGCCTTTCTTATTTGGTCCTGAGTTAGTCCAGAAATGTTCTTCCCAGCAGGATTTGGGCACAAACTTCTTTTTGTCAGAGGCGCTGTGCCACACTTCGGTGAGTACACTAATTCACTAATTCTTCGAGCTCTGGAGAATCAGAGAACGAGAGCAAAGTGCCGATGGCTGCTTTGCGGATGTTTTACAGCAGCAAAGTGCCTTTCGTGCCGGGCCAGGCAGATGTTGGAAAGCCTCTGGCCGACCTGCTGGTGCCCAAGATCCAGGAATCTGCCAGGGCAGGGCAACCCATCGAATCCGATATCCATGCTCCAATCGTGATGGAAGAAATTTGCAGGAGCTCAATCCGTTTTGCAACGTCAAGACAGCGCCTGTATTGAATGCAGAGGCATGACCCAGGGCCAAAGCCAATGCGTTGGTCGCTTTCGGTCATGGTAAAGATGTTTCGGACAAACGCACTTATGCAGCACATCATGCATCTTCACGCAATAAGCCATCTAGCTGACATGCTCAATCAATCTCAATCATGCTCACAAAGACTCAAAGCAAATGTTGCCTGAAGGTAGTCCAGCAACACTCTGTGTTGCTGATCTGCGAAAGCATGCCGCTGAACGACTTGCTGAAGTGCAACTTTCATGTTTTGCCTTCGCCGACACTGGAGGAGAACGGATTCAGCTCTGATAAGCCTAGCAAATCATGGTATTTTATGGTATTTTCATATATATATATACTATCTACACATACTTGTACATTATTGACGTATTATTATTTTAATTATTCCCATGTGCTGCTCACCAAACTCTCCGAGTTGATCCTCTCTGTTTCCAACATGCAGAGGTGGAACGAGTATTGTCGCAGCCTTCTACCAAAACCAGTGGCCGTCAATGGCTTAGATGTGGTCACGTGATGTCACGTGATGTCACGTGATGTCACGTGATGTCACGTGGTCTATCTTTGGTGGAACAAAATTTTGAGAAGTTGAGACTCTTTGAGACTCTTTAAATCTCTTTGAGACATTGCATCTCTTTGCCCCAAGCAGACCCAAGCAGATCCAAGAAACAAGGGGAGACATGACGCGCGCGCTCAGTTCCTGTACGTCCGGACGGGCGGCATCTTCGGAAACGTCTTCGTTGACTTTGGACCGTCCCATGTTCTGGTGGACGCAAATGGACAGGCCTCGGAGAAGTCATGGATATGGATGTCATGGACGCTGATTTTATGATATTTCGAGATTTTCAAGTAGTATTTTTGTGCATTCTTGGAACGTGGAACATGGATGAACACTTTTGACTCGCTTCACATGTTGACATGACATCTTATCACACGTTGACTTGCCATGCTTTTGGAGTGACTGGAAGTGTCTCGCAGCCGTGTGGCTCAATCACTGGGCCAGCCTGTCGTTGTGGGTCTGGGCACTCAGCGATTCCATGGCTGTGAGAGCACAAGTTTCAAATAGTTTCAATCAACTTTCGTCCTTCGGTTCTGATCAACTCTTGTGGCTACCCTTGATTTCAAACCCGACTTAGTCGCTACCAGAGTGAACAGTCATTGACTCCCCCTTCGTCTCGGAACGATACAGCTGTTGCTAAGATGTGGTATGTTTCTTTTCATCAGCACTTCCTCTTCCTCTTCCTCCGCTTCTTCTTCTTCTTCTTCTTTTGGTTTGAAAAGATTGTGTGACTCAATCTTGGGATGCAGCTGAGCTCAGCTGAGTGTGCAATAGATGTGTCTCCAGGCTCTCAAGAATGTCGGCTGGGGAGGCATGCCAAGGGTTGAAATATCCTCAGGATACCTCAGGATCGGCACAGCATTGCTTGTGAGATATGAAATTACATAGCACCGTGACAGATTTTATATGCATTAATATATTTATACACTTATAAAACTCATATACAAAACATTTTTCTTTTTATCATATCCCCGTCTCAGACCATATCTTGTCATTGCCTAGCAAGGAAGTCTTGCAAACTTGACGATGGGTTCCGTTTCTTGAAGGTGGCCTTTGTGACGGGCTTGCAAACAGCTGGACCTGGACTATCAGGCGCTCCTTGCGTCCTTTGCTCCGAACTTTCCAATCGCATTGAATGCAGGGTTTTGATGGGCTTTGGTCGTGCTTGAAGCCGCTGGAAAAAGTAAAGCGAGTAAACTGAGTACGCCTTGCCCCGTGCAGGGAGCAAGCCCAAGCCGTTGCAGAGACGTCCAGTGGAGGCCGTGGTTCGACCACGTTGACGTTCGATCACCACAGTTCCGTGTCAACTCAAGTGATGCTGAGATATGATGGATGAAACCGTTTCGTTCCGTCCAAAGGTTTCTGCAGTTTCTGCCTGATTTTTTGGTCCGCTGCATTGTGTTTAAATGAAGACCCTACAGATAGATCAGATAGACCTCTTCGATCCTCTTCGCTGATCAAAGCGATTCAGTGGAAATGAATTGATTCGTTTGTGTCACCAATGTCACCAAGTCAGGCTGCGGATACATCGAGCCTTGCGCGTTGCAGTGGTGCTGTGGTTGGAGGCGCTTCAAAGTTCAAGCGTCTCCAAAGTCTCCGTCAATCAGTCAATCTGTTTGTATCATTTTGATTTCATTTTGTATCTGTTTATTCTGTTTGTCAAATTTTGTCAATCGGTCTCACTCTGGAGGTGCGTTCCTGGCGTGCAGCAAGCGCAGGCGGCATCGAGCCCCTCGCCAGGCCATTTGACTAGTCGTTGTACTGTCGCTGTGAAGTTCTCTTCACACAATATTGGTCTTTTCACATGTTTTCACCTTGTTTTTACGGTTCATTTCTTCCACTCTTTTTTGCACGGCACTTCTGCGGTTGGAGGCTTTTGGAAAGTTTTTAGGGAATATGTTTCCATGGCTGGACGAGAAAAAGGAGGAGAGCTCTGGAGTGGATGTCTTGGATGTTTGAGGTACCCGACAAATGACAAAATGTTTGGAGAAATGTCATGAAATATCTGTGTTTCGGCAGGACCGCCAGGACACATCTTCCCCTTCCCGTGGTTCATCCCCCCCTACTCGCTCCTCGGAAGAAGTCATGGAGTTGAAGGACGACTTCCAAAAAAATCTGCCCAGATCTGCCGAGTACAGAGAATGCCTAGACGTATCTAGACGTAAAACAAAGTCACCAAAGATCGAAGGAGATCCGAACAACTTTTGTTGCACAAAATTGACAACTTTTCGACACATTTCACTGAGAGCGGTTTGGCCAG